TTATTTCATATCGTGCACCGAATACCTCCAGTTTTCACCACAGTCTGGGATTACTCCATGAGTAAACCCATGAGCATGTTTTTTTCAGGATCAGGGAAATCACAAACTTAATTTCCAAAAAGAAGTAATCCTTTTAGATTGATTCTGTGCCAGGGTACTGGTAGGTAGTCTTGCACAGAGAAACTAATTCTGGTAATATCTCTAATCTCTCTAAACACAAAATAATTTTCAAAACTCTGTGTTCCATTGTACCTATTATATACCATTATCTTATTATTCAGAGACATTATCATCAGTACAGAAAATTCACTGAATAAAATGTTAATAACTTGTTCATTATTTTTAAGTGGAAATTAATAGATAAGTTATTAAAGAGTATTCTGTTCTCAACATACATTAGTTGGTGTGAAAAATTACTAAAAGACATGTTTTTAAATGGAACATTTAAAGAGTATTCTGTAGTTGAAGAAGAAAGGTCTTTGTTCAAAACCAGAAACACTAGGTGAAAATGTCATAGCTATCACTTGCTATTAAATAACACAGAAATGTCTAAAACCCAACCATAGCTAAACAAAGTAGGATGGCTATACGTATGTAAAGCATACGATGAATTGTTCTTATAGTCACTGCAACATTTATATAATAAATAAGCAAGTTAGCATGCACCTGCCCAAACTGAGTTCAGATTTCCCATCATTTTTATATCAATGTCATTTTTCTTTTTTTTCTTTGAAAATAAGCTTCAGTTTGCCTAAAAATTTTAAGCACATTTTCTTTCATATTTTAAGGTTCTCTTGATATAGCATGTTCCAAAGAGTGAAAGCCAACTCCTCCTACAGCAGGGGGGGGTCAAGCCTCTTTTTAACAGACTGCTCTCTAAGCAGTGCCAGGGAGGCTACAATTATTTTTATTGGCATTTCTAACAAAACTAAATTTTGCACTTGCACCGTTTTTAAAGATAAAAGTTACGATTCTCTGATTTCACTAGCCATTCACTTATGTTTCCATTTAAAAAGATTTCTCTCTTGCTTTGCCGATGCTGTTCACCGACAGCTGGTCTGACGTGTTTTGCTCTTGCCTAGGAACCAGGTTCGCAGCGGTTCTGATAGTTTAGCTCCTCATTTTAGCAGAAGACTGTGAAGCCTGTCTACGTATCCAGCAGCCAGCAGCCACCGCTCTTACATCCCAGGATGGAATTAGGTCACAGCTGGGACACACTGAGAGTGCGTAATGCAAAACTCCATCTCAGCCAAAAATCCCTTGGTTTGTGTCAAATGCCGTTGTTACATAGGCCCTGCGCCAAAACACGGCCAGGAAGTGTAATTTCACATCTTCATACTTCTCAATCCTACCTTTATACTTCTCAGGCCCGATTTTTGATTAGGTAGGCTTTTGTGGAGTAGAATAAGGAACTTTATTTGTAAAATTGGGAATTAATAATGCAATAATACGAGTGGTTGGCATGAACAGACCTGTTGGCTTCGATGGGACTATTCGACTATGCAAAATAACTCAGGCACTTAAGTGTCTGCCAGCTCAAACTCCAAAGCCAACATGACAAGCTTATTATCAGTAAACAGTATCACTTGCACTGTAGTTGTGCTTTAAGGCCTCAACCAAAGATCTAGCACCAAAAAAGCCCAACCTACATTAGACAAAATGGATCCAGGATTGCAACTTTCAGGCATGTACTGGGACCAAAAAGTGAACAAGGCAATAGCGATGGCTGGCCTTGGGCAATCGTGTTTTTACCGATTTAACCTATAGATTCATAAAAGTTTAGAAGATTTTCTTGTGTTCGTTAGCTTTCTCAAAATATTCTGGAGCTATGTGAAGGGAACCTTGCTATTATTTAACAGTCTTTCTCTGGCAAACAGGTATGGTCGAATTCAATGAGTTAAGCCTAATAAAATCTCGGTTTCCCCGTTTCAGACTGGGAGCTGATGCAAGTGCAAGAAGACTGCAGATTCCCGGCTGTCCTGTGCCTGCGGGCAGGGGGAAGTGCTTCGAACTCTAATGGTAACTGAGCAATAATAGGTTTAGAGTGACATAAGAAATGGAACCAAAAATCCTGCTTATTGAAACAATGCAGAATTTAGCATCCAGTTCCCAAGACTACCGCGTCTGTTTGTTAGGTAAGGGCCTAAGTGGCTGCAAAGAGCCGTAGCACTACGTATACAGCCCCTGGCAAGTAGAGGGGAATCTTCTGGGCTCATTTCACCTTTACAAAACATCTGTAATCCTTTTGCTATTGTTTAGTTACAAGGTGTTTCACCTCTGTGTTAAAAACCATTCAAATCCTTTTTTGAGTCAGTACTAATCAAATGCTCGCGTGGCCTAACTATTGTAGATTTAATGTCTTCAAACCAATTTTCCACTCTACAAACATTCCTGTCTAAAAATCACAGGAATAATTGACATCTTTGTTAGCAGCCTTTATGAATGTGACACGTTGAGCAGAGTAGCTGGGGAAAGGTTGGAGAGAAAGAGCCACGGTCAGATATTTGGGGAGTCCATTGGGGTGACGCGTTTTCCTAGAACAGCCTGGAGAGGATGCTACTGCTTACACCGTGTCAGTTCTCTGGATAAAGAAAGGGCTCCAGCTTCTGCATCTGTCAGTCTGGCACCTTTAATAAGTAATTAAATCACACTGTAGATTTGTATACATACTTGGATAAATAATAAATGACAGCTATCGCACTGGCACGCGAGCACGCCTGCATACCCAGGGCAGGAAATCACATACAGTATTTCATTTCTTGCCAATTTATCTGTAACAAAGCGAGGAAGATGCCCTGGGGAGTGGTGACTAACAAGGAGCATTGTTTATGCTACAAATCCCATTGGGTTATTAGTCTTTGAAAAGTGCTTTGTTTAGCTTAT